CGCACGCACTGCTTCAACTGGCACTCCCCCACGGTAAGCCGGGCTGGGCGGGGCCGCCGCGGCTACACCCAGGCTCCCCTGGGCCAGCGGGGCCTTGCCCTGCATCCTAACCCCAAAGCTACAGCACTGTCCATGGAACCTTGTCGCAGGATCCACCCAGGCTGAGAACAATGGGCTCATTCAGAGGCCTTCAGCAGGGGTGAGAGGAAGAAGGTTGTCAGACTCGCTGACCATAAGTGCTGGCCCCGTGGGTAGGAGTTCCCCAGCCGTAGATGTCTCAACTCCCCTTCTCTTCATACCTCTGTCCCTGCCACACCCACCCCCTCACCCCTGCCCTCCACACCAGCCACACAGGTTTTTCTCCCTTTTGAATCTGCTCTGGCTGCTCCCCAAGAAATACTGTCGAAGCCAGGCCCTGGCCATGGAGGTGGAGGGGTGCCGAGGGTGAAAGGTCCCAGCAAGCCTCCTCTCCGATCAGGACCACGTGGTGCTTGATCCTTTCGGGGAAGGATCAGCAACCTGGCCCACAGGTCAAGGCCTGCCCGCAGCCCGTGGGTCCCCTCCACGCCCCTGTTTTTATAAACAAAGTTTTACTGGGACTCAGCTTCATTGGGTGGTCACATTGCATTGCAGGAGAGCTGAGTGGTCATTCAGCCCACAGACCACAATACCTGCTCTTCTGGCCCTTCACAGAGAGAGCCTGCCCCTCCTGCTGGAGCTGTGTCCTTCAGTATGGTAGTCACTAGCCTCTGGTGGCGACTTGAATTTAGATTTAAAATAGTTAAGATGAAGTAACATGTGAAGCGCAGTTCCTTAGCCGCACCAGGCACATTTCCTGTGTCCAGTAGCCACACATGGGCAGCGGCTCCCGCACGGACCCTGCAGCACATTTCCATCGTGGCCGAAGGCTCCGTCAGGCTGTGATGTGCACACCGTGGTCACGTGGGCTTCCAAGGAGGGGTCCTGGCCACGCGGGAGGTAGCTCTCTGGTTTGGGAAGCTTGTTTTTTTCACTTATTTAACACGCTCTCTCCTTATTCATTTAACAATTTAAAACTTCCCATTTATCGGATGAATATTCTGTGCAATGCTTTTTGCCTCTGGAATTGCACACAGTGAATCTCCTCCTTTTCCTCGTGAGAGTTTTCCGATTCCCCTGAAGTTTTCTTCAAGATGAGCATCCCCGGGTATTCGGGTCTTAGCCTGTGAGAGTCCAGCTTGGCATTCACTTACCCTCCGTCTCCCTCATCCGCGTGTCCCTCCCAGAACGAGGTTCCAAGAAACAGAAGCTGGTGGCCAGGGGAGGTGCTGGGTGCCAGAGGGAGCGGGGCCTGAGGGCTCTCCACCAGGAGGCCTCACCTGGGCTACGTGCTCTCGGGGGCCTGCCCACCCACACAGGTGCCTTGGGGGGATGGTTCATAAATCTTACCAGCTTATCAAAAGGTGGGGAGGGGGTCCATGACCCCAAAAAGGTCAAGAATCGCTATTCAAGATGCTTTACCTCTGTCACCATGAAAGTGAAGAGCTGATTGCGTGGTGCGGCGATGTCTGATTGTGTCTTTGGTCTGCTTCCCTCCAGTACGAGTACGCTCTGAGGCATCTGTACGTGCTGGCCAACCTCTGTGAGAAACCCTACCCCATCGACAGGTGAGCCAGCGCGTGGCACTTAAAGGTCATTGTCACTCGGAGCAGAAGGGAGCGGCGCCGCTCTCCCTCCTGCCAGTGGGCAGCTGGGCCTCTGCCTCCACCTGTAGCCACACGAGACCCGCGGAAGCAGCGGGAATAGCTGCACTCTCCGTGGCCGTCGTGAGGCGGGCCCGTCCCAAGTGACTGCCTGCTCCGCGCTGGGCTATGTTGGTCTCTGCGTCTCCGGAGTTGACCTGCTTCACCATCTTCTTCCTGTTTCTTGCAGAATAAAATGGTCCATGGACAAGGTGTGCCTCGGCTACTACTGAAACGCTGCCGTCTCGCTGCTTTTCCAAGCGTGAACACCGTCCTGGGAGCGCGCTGACCGGAGGTGGACGGAGCGAGGGGAGGCCGGGCCTTTCGGAGGGCCTGCTCGCCTTTCCCCACCCGTCTCCTGCAGCCCCCGGGAGGCTCTGACACCTCAGGTTTGGCCGGGTTGAAGGGCCTGTTGGCTTCCCAAGAGGCTTTTTGCCTGTTTGTGTTAAGAGGCAAGGAGTTCGCGTGGGCTGCTGTAGCCAGCGAGAGACTCTGGGCTGAGGAGCTGGAAGCTGGAGCCTCGAGTCTTCAGGATGGAAAGCTACTTTTAGAAAATAATACAAGTTTTGATTGCTTTTTATGTTTTATTCCTCAATAATGGACAATAAAGGTTGTAACTGAAGCCGAGTGTTAATTTGGGGCCCGTGACTCTGCAGTCAGGCCCTGGCCTTCCCTCCCGGCCGCCCTGCATCCGCCCCTCTGCCGGCCTGCACCGGGCAGCCTCCTGTGCCTCACCCCTGCTCTTCCTCTTGCCTCAGTGCCTTGCCCTCCACCTCACAGAGCCTCACCATGTATCTGGAAGTGCTGCCTATCCCCCAACCTTCTTCATCTTCCTCCTGTCCCCACCCAGCGAGTCCTCTCTCCTGTCTGCGCCTTCTTTGCATCTCTCAGCAGGTGTCAGGGTCGGCCCTACACCAGTTGGGGGGTGGGGGGGAAGGGTGTGCCCTAGGGTTATCCCAGCTCTGCCAGGGCAAAGGCGGCCTGACTTTGTGTCCCTTGGCCGGTGCCCACACAGGGAGTGCTCACAGTGGGTTAGATGAAGACATGTAAGAGGAACAGGAACCGCAGCCACACAGCGGGGCTTTATGCAGCAACGAGAAGGAAAGGAGCTGATGACACACCGGACATTAGGGCAAGTGAGAGGAGCCCGTATGCGCGATCCCATTGATGCCCATAGAGACAGGAAATGAGTGGTGCCGAGGCCGGGAAGAGAGGAAACAGGGACGTGGCGCCTGCTAGTGGGCATGAGATTGCTTCTGAGGGGATGGAAATGCTCTAAAATTCATTGTGGTGGCGATTGTACAGCTCAAATAGACGGAAAACCATCGAACTGTGCACGCTAAGTGGAAATTATGTGGCTAATTATAGTTCACTAAAGCTGTTTTTAAAATAAGCCATGTAGTGGATGGCTGTTTAGATAGCCAGCCGGAGAGAAGCAAAGAGGAAAGGTGGCACCTGCTAAGCTGTCACTTACGACCACTGGCGTTCATGCTGTGGAACCGTTTCGGCAGCGACGCTTTTGAAGTTTGCAGTTAGGAAGGGAAGGTGGGGGACTGGCAGACAGGGTTATGTCTTGACAAACTCAAGGGGGATACTTTATTTCTAACGGCTGTTTTTTTATTATCAGCACAGACATCCTTCCGCAGTAAGGTTCTCATAGCCAATCAAGTGACTTCAGGATAAAGAACTCATTGTCTGGATTTGGGGCACTCTAGGGTTTTAAGTAACAACTACAAGGTCACTGCATGTGTTTATCGCTCGTGCTCAACAAGGGCAACCTCAGTGCTGGCTGATGTTCAAAGAAATTCAAATACTGAAAAGCAGCTTTAAAGGGAGTATCTTAAAAGGCCTCAAGATTCTGGTGGCAAAAGCTCTGGTTTTTCCTAGAACTGTTAACTACCCTCTTGACCCCGCTTCTCTATTTGTCATCTCTGTAGAAAATGAAGTACATTTGCCTATTTAACAAACAGAAATGCGAATGTTCGTGGTACTAAAGGGGAAAGCAGCTGTGTTTCATTTATCAAATAAACGACGATTTCATGATCTCAGCGCTTTGCTGTTTTCTCCTGTGGTTGGTGGACTCACCCCTGTAGAGAGCCATTTCCTCTAAGGGTTTAGATTCCTAATGTGGGGGACCTTTCCATGTGCGTCACAACTAGAACCAGCGTTTTTTCTCTAATTATATCCAAAACCAGAGGCCCGGTGCACGAAATTCTTCCCCAGGAAAGGGGGTGGGGGGTGTCCCTCAGCCTGGCCTGTGTCCTTTGGCAATCTAGGACCCTTCAGGGGATGTCAGGCCTTAACCAGTAGTCGGACATCCCTCTCACAATCCAGGACGCTGCATGCACCAGTGACCATACTTTTTTTTCATACAGGTGAAAGGCATCTTGCTGTTGTATGGGGACCTACATTTTTTTGCCCTGATTATAAAAAGTAGTACATAACATCCTTCTGAGGCAGTAGTACCATTTTCCCCATCTTATAGGTGGAAAAACTGAAGCAGAGAGAAGTTCATTGGCTTTGTCACACAGTTATAGTGTCAGAATCTGCAAACCAGAGTTCAAGCATGTCATCGCTGCATCATCCTGTTTTTTCAGTGTTAGAGTAGCTTTGCCAGGTTTTAATTCTTAAATCTAAGAGACTGTTCCCAATATATAGCATAGAGTTCCTAGGTCTGGCCAGCGATCAGGGCCATCTGTGGGGCAACCAGTGGGCGGGGTGATCAGGGCACCCACCTTGGCTGGCAGCCTGGCACCACCCACTGGCCGGCCTCACTCCCTGATCACCACCACGCGTCGCCTCCCCCTTGGGGAGCAGATGCTCAACACAGGATCTGCCCCGTGTTGAGCACCTGGCCGCTGATGGTCAGTGTGCGTCATAGCAGCCAGTTCTTCTGCCAGTCATTCCACCAGTTGGTCAATTTGCATATTAGGATTTTATTATATAGGATACTAGAGGCCGGGTGCATGAAATTCATGCACGGGTAGGGTCCA